CGGCCCCAGACACACTGACCAGATGTTTGGAAGCTGTGGCTGGATGGTTACGTGGGAGCCGGTTGAAGTTAAATCCTTCGAAGGCAGAGGTCCTCTGGCTGGGATGGGACGATATGGGATTGAGGGGGCAACTCCCATGTCTTGCGGGGGCGCAATTAGTGCCAGCACCGTCCGTTAAGAGTTTGGGTGTAATCTTCGATACCTCCCTCTCTATGGAGGCGCAGATTACAGCTATAACAAAGGCGGCATTTTTTCATCCCCGCCAAGCTAAGCAGTTGGCCCCTTATCTCTCTCACCCTGACCTAGCCACTGTGATCCACGCGACGGTCACCTCCAGACTGGATTATTGTAACTCGCTCTACGTTGGGCTGCCCTTGAGACTGACCCAGAAATTCCAGCGGGTGCAGAATGCTGCAGCGAGACTCCATATGGGGTCTTCGCTGCGAGATCACATTCATCCGGTACTATACCAGCTGCACTGGCTCCCGGTGGAGTACAGGATCAGGTTTAAGGTGCTGGTTTTAACCTTTAAAGCCCTATACGGCCTAGGACCCTCGTACCTATGGGACCGCCTCTCCTGGTATGCCCCACAGAGGAACCTACGGTCTGCAAATAAAAACATCCTGAAGGTCCCAGGCCACAGAGAGGTTAGGCTGGCCTCAACTACAGCCAGGGCTTTCTCGGCTGCGGCTCCAATCTGGTGGAACACTCTGTCACAAGAGACTAGGGCCCTGCGATCTTTCCGCAGGGCCTGCAAGACAGAGTTGTTCCACCAGGCCTTTGGTCAGGGCGCAGCCTGACTCCTCTGGCTACCTGCACAGAATTTTGCTTAAGGGTTGCCATTAATTTGATTTTAATTAATTTTTATGATGAAATGTTTATAGAATGTTGGATTGTTTGATTGTTTGATTGTTGTTAGCCACCCTGAGCCCGGCTTCGGCTGGGGAGGGCGGGATATAAATAAAATTTATTATTATTATTTATTATTGTAGTAGTGGGCAGAAACAGAGCTCCAGCAGTATTGGGCTGCTGGGTCTAGCTGCCATTTTAATTTGCCACACCGTAGTTGAATCATTCTAACTGAGGCATTAGGGGAAATAAAATGGTAGTTTGAATATTAATGTTAAATATGGCTTTAAGGCATCAGTAGTGTGTTTTGCCAGGACAGTGAGGTGCTGGTGCTAGTACTGGACTGTCTTTTGTAAGAAAACTACAAAGGGGCACCTCTTCACTCCAGCGACTGTTTTAGAAGACTATGGGAGGATATGATTTGGCTACAGTTGGGGAGAGTTGTGGTTTCATTAAGGCCCACACTGCTTTAAACCATTTCATTGATTCAAAATATTAATATTATTAAATAGTGGGTGGACATAGCAGACGACACAGAGATTTCTCCAAGTAGTTCTTTATAAGTAAGCTGGAACTGAACTGAACAGCAAACAGCTCAGCCAGCCGCTTTTATAGGCAGCCGGCTGTCAACATTGTAACAACAACCCAGGGTTACCCGCCTAAATTAACTGACGTGGACCTGAGTGAAAACTGTATTTTTCGCTCTATAGGACGCACCAGTCCATAGGATGCACTGGACCATAGGAGGGGGAGAAGGGGGGGGATTCTCCTCCTCTCTGCTCAGCACCCCTTCAACGAAGTGGCAGGAGAAACAGAGCACTTCTCCTCCCGCTTTGCTGAAGGGGCGCTGCGCAGAGAGGGAAAACTGTGCAGCGCCTCTCCAGCGAAGCGAAGCCTGGAGAGCAAGAAGAGTCAGTGCGCACCGATCCCTCTCGCTCTCCTGGCTTCAGGTGGCTATCCGCAAGCCTTCAGAGTGCAGTGGGAACTCCTGCTGCACTCCGAAGGCTTGCGGATAGCTGCCTGTAGCCCCCAGAGAGCAGCCTTTGAAGCCTCCGCAGAGCAGTGGGGTGAAGGCACCCCGCTGCCCTGCGGAGACTTTGCGCAGCCATCCCCAAGCTAGAACAGCGAGACGGAGCGCTGCGCGGCGCTCCGTCTCCCTGTTCTGGCTTTGGTCTTAGCTGTGCAGCCTGCATTCGCTCTATAGGACGCACACACATTGCCCCTTAATTTTTGGAGGGGGAAAAGTGCGTCCTATAGAGCGAAAAATACAGTACATGATACCCCTGGTGGCCAGGGTGAGAACTTCAATACATAACAAATATGTGTCTTTCTTTCAAGTTCAAAGTGGATTTCTGATAAAAAACAATAACCTGTCATTTAAGCAGTCCGGGTGGGGTAAAACAAAAGTTGTTGAACTCATAATCCCATCATTACTGATCATTCCCCATGCTTCTCGGGTCTGATGAGAGTTGGGGTTCAGCAATGATCTGGAAGGCACCATGTTGGCCTGGTGTAATGAAGAACATGATAGTAAGTGATTTCAAAACAGCAACCATACTTGCAGAGATTTCATCATGACAAAACTGAGTGTGTTCCTTTAAATTGTTCCTTTATATAAGGAATTAATTTGATACAAGTTTTAGAATGTTCTTCTAAATCATATGTTGTGCATTTTACAACTATTTTGAGCATTATTCAAGATTATTATTCTTTTGCAGTGAATGTACTTTAGCCCTTTGTACAAATATGCATTCAATATTTTTATTCAAGTTCTGATATATTTCCTTGACAGGAACAGACTGCAATTTTTAGAGGAATGGCAATATCTCAAACAAAAATGGAAAAGCTCCCTTCCTTTCTTTTTTTGAGGTTGTAAATCAATAAATCTAGTAACAGCACCTTGCAATCCACCAAGGCAACTCAGCCTATAAATCAATTAAACCAATTTACTGCCATCACTAACATTTAAAGGATGAAAAAACTTGGGCTCTGCCACCCAAAAGCACTTTATGCATGGGTAATAGCAAGTTTATAGATCACAGTCTGAAAAAGACTCTCTCCACTGCTACAGGCTTCTGATCTCATGCTCTGTCACAGGTTGCCAATCTTTTTGGATAAGTGGGCACATTAAGAATTTTGAGAAAGTGCCATGGCTTTTTTAGATTTTTAGATTTAAGCAGTCATCTTCTGCAAGCAACTTTAAATTTTGTATCAAAATCTCATGAATTTTTTAGACAGTCCATAGACCATTCACTGCATCAGACCTGCTGTACAGTGGATGCTCAGGTTGTGAACGTGATCCGTGCAGGATGCATGTTCACAACCGGTAGCGTTTGCAACCTGCAGTGGTGCGCATGTGCATGCATGGGTTGCAATCCGGCGCTTCTGCGCATGCACGACTGCCGAAACCTAGAAGTAACCCATTCCAGTACTTCCGGGTTTTGGCGGGTCCCTAACCCGAAAAAACGCAAGCTGAAGCGTCTGTAACCTGAGGTATGACTGTATTTCAGGAAGAAAGGAGAACTGGCTCCACAGGCAGCCCTGTTCAGGGAAGTTTTTAATGTGTGACATTTTAGTGTATTTTTGGTCTCTGGAGAAGCCGCCCAGAGTGGCTGGGGAAACCCAGCCAGATGGACGGGGTACAAATAATAAATTATTATTATTATTATTATTATTATTATTATTATTATTATTAAAAGGTGTACAATGGGAGATCGAAGAATATGGCAGGTCTTATGCACTGGGGAGCTATGGACTATCTAAAAATGTCATGCCATTTGACGAAAAAATCCAAAGTTACATACAGCTGAAAATGGCTGCTTAAATTTGGAAGAAAAAAAAAAAAACTTTGGTCAGGTTGCTCACATAATAAAACATTTCCGCTGTTTTGCTAGTCATGGATCCTCAACAAAAGAATAACATTTAGATTCTAAGGGAGTTTTGCATTCTTAATTTATGCTGTAAAACAGGGGTCAGCAAACTTTTTCAGCAGGGGGCTGGTCCACTGTCCCTCAGACCTTGTGGGGCGACGGACTATATTTTGGAAAGAAGAAGAAGAATGAATTCCTATGCCCCACAAATAACCCAGAGATGCATTTTAAATAAAAGCACACATTCTACTCATGTAAAAACACCAGGCAGGCCCCACAAATAACCCAGAGATGCAAAGCACACATTCTACTCATGTAAAAACACGCTGATTCCCGGACTGTCCGCAGGCCGGATTTAGAAGGCGATTGGGCCGCATCCGCCTTAGTTTGCCTACCCATGCTGTAAAATAAGATGTACTTTGGGTTATGCTATGAGATGAAAAGAGCTAGGTATTTTTCACAACATTGCTACATTAGGAGGTAATCATTTGCTTCTATTCTTCCAATGTATGTATAACATGATCTCTAAATGTAACTTTAACAAAATCTGTAACCTTATAAAGAAAGTGTTAAACAAACTCACTCTGTCTTCCTACTGCTCTTGCTGTTGGTCCAAGGTACCAAAGAGATGAGTCAGAAATCATAGTCAAGGAATAAGAAGAAGTCGAGAGTTAGAATCAATGGATCCCTAAGTGAGCTAAATCTACGCCAGCAGTAGATTTTGATGGAATAGTGACCATAAATCCCTTCAGGGAGGGGATTTAGGGTAGAAATTCTAATGAATGCTGAGCTGTGCTGGTGTTAAGGCACCACTATCATAATGCAGAATAATTAGAGTAATCAAGATGCAGTCCCTGACTTAATTAAGCTCCAGAGCACTGTGTGAGGAGTAATAAATTTATACCAAAATAAAAGTGGAAAGGATTTAGTGCTAGACTGAATTGCATATTGATTCAGAGGATAGTAAAAATTATGTATATGGACAAACCAGTAATTAATGAACTGACTGTAAATCATCTAAAATGGGGGCTTATTTTAAATATATTTAGGCGCACATGTGTGTTTTGCAGACATGCTGACGAGGGCATGGTTTATGTCATAATGTGATAAAGATTTGCTTTGTGACGCTATCCTACATTTGATGAATCACAACATCCACACATGGATTCTGGTAATTTCAGGTCAATTTCATGAAAGTCAGTGGTAAGTGAAAGGATGGTTTCCACCATCTCCTTTCTCCATATTGTGCACCATTCCGTATATATATATATATATATATATATATATATATATACACACACATACATACACCATATATATATATTGTGTGTGTGTGTATATATATAATAATAATATAATATAATAATATCATCTTATTGTCATTGCCTTCGGGACAATGAATTACTTGACTGCTCCATAAAACACTAATTAATCAATACAGTGTGTGTGTGTGTGTGTGTGTGTGTATATATATATACACACACACGTATATATAGTGAATGAATACATTGAGCTGGAAGGGACTCAAAGGGTCCTCTAGTCCAACCCCTGCAATTCAGGAACATTTTTCATCTCACACATGCAGATGTTCTTGAGATCACATTGCACTATTGTAGTATCATAACTGTGCAAACATTTAGCCATTTAAATTACGAGTGGAAGAAAAACATCCACACATTGGAAAAGAATGAAGTACCTAAATGGGTTCTTGTATGCTAATACAATTGGAAAATGTCGATCAATTCTCCTACCTGGACAGTTATCTTTCCATAAGGGCCAACAATCCAGCATTGCCTGAGCTCTGAGAGTGCAGCTTTCTCCCAATTGAAGTGTTTGAGGACCGAGATATTTGCAGGGAAACCAAAATGCTTGTTTACAAAGCTATTGTACTACCAACCTTACTATATGCTTGTGAAACATGGACCACTTATAAATGCCATCTCCAACTCCTTGAATGATTCCACCAACGGTGTCTCTGAAAATTTGTACACATCACTTGGGAAGACAGGCGAACTAATGCCAGTGTACAGTGGACACTCGGGTTGTGAACGTGTATCCCGCAGTGGCACGTCTGCGCATGCGTGGGTTGCAATTTGGCACTTCTGCACATGTGCAAAGCGCAACTTAGCGCTTCTGCACATGTGCGGCCGCCAAAACCCGGAAGTAACCCGTTCCGGTACTTCCAGGTTTTGGCGGTTCGCAATCCGAAAAAACGCACCCTGAAGCATCTGTAACCCGAGGTATGACTGTACTAGAAGAAGCTAAGAGGAAAACACGCTTGGCAAACCCTCACCGTGATCAACTCCACCCGGAAACCTATGTGTGTTCCACTGTGTTCATGGAAGACGATCTTACTTGGCTACAAGCAATTGCCAAAGAAGAAGAAAACAGGATCCCAGCAGGTAATTAGGTACAAATTGAGAATAAATTGGGAATAAAAGCTTCCTACAGAATACTTGTAGGCATGGTGCAAAATTACTTACACCTTTCGTGGATAAATTTGAGTTAGTGGCTCTTAAGTCTGCTCAATATTTTGGATACTACTCCGCTTTGGTGGAACTATTTTTAAAATTAGTGTTCTGAACAATTGTATACACTTCTGTTTCCTCCCGCTCTATGTTCTGCCAAGGCCAGGTGGTTCCCCCCCCCCCAAGGGCAGAGGTTCTTTTAAGGATTTGAGAGCAATAAACACCCTTATTGGGTGAGGATCACAAGCTTTATCAATGCACAGCGATAATAAACTGAAACACTTCACACTTAATTTGAAGCAAAGCTTAAGCAGACACCTAAAGCACATTACTGCATAGTTAGGCACAACTAAAAGAAACACTCCAAATAGCATCACTCATGCCCCTTCTGCTGGGGAAATCTGTAGACACAAAAGCTGGCAGAACCCTGTCATAGGTGGAACTGGACAATGTGACATTCTGCTATTTTCTACTGAATAAATGATAATTATGCAGATGCATGTTAACTCCTAAAAGCATGGCTTATAGTTATAAAGCAATGGTAGGTCCAGGCCTGTTAGGACTTATCTTGTGGCATCAAGGGGAATCACACTATTTCCTTGTGATAACAATTCTCTTCCACAGTGCGATACTACCATTTATCCTCGTGACTTCATTCTCAGTGATTCTGGCAATTTAACTGAACTCCCATAAATGTTCACATCCAACTCATTGTTGGAAACAGCGTTAAACATGATGAAACCTTTGTCCTACTGTCACATTCAACAGTCATCTCCATTTCTAACCACTGGAGTAAGTTGTTTGTGGTGCCAGACCTCTGGTGTGTTCTAGCTCTGCTTGAACTCCTTAGCTGTTGGGTGGAACGCCAATCACATTTCTGGAGCATTTTCCTTTCCTTGGAGGCACCCCTACAGGTGATGGTGCATACATAAATTCACTCAAAGCTGCTTGGGCCCTGCTCCATCTCCTACTCTGACCCCTCGCATTACTAGTTGCATACTTGGGCCAACTGCAATTGGAGGAATATTGTATTTCACTAACAAAAATTCTGGTGCATGGCCTGCAGTTATCGAATCGGGTTGCCTTTTAATTGCCAACATTAATCTGAAAAAAATAAAGATGTCATGTCAGGCAGGAAAAGCACATTCATCTGCTGGAGACTCTGAGTGCTTTCTGGCGATCATCTGCTGTGCCTGGCTGGGCTGTCGCTCTGTTAAACAGTGCGTGAAGCTGGCTAGACATCTGAACAAGGTGATCTTCAGAGAGTGCTCTCATTTGGTAGCCAGTCACAACCATTTAGCTCACTTTCTGTCGTGTAGCCTCTTACATTCATTTTTCCAGAGCTCAGCACTTTTGTGGCAGTTTTTTGAGGGGACAGGAGAATTCAAAGCAATAATTGAAGTGGATCAAACAAATGCATTTCCTCCTCTGTGTTTCACAGGAGGCACCCACCATGTGGAAAATGAAGGCAGAAAGGTATTTGTTTGCATTCTGGTTTCAAACAGGAAAGATGTTTGAATCACTTCTTAGGGCCATAGATTGGCTGCTGCAAGCTTCCACAAAAAATGGGATGTCCCATTTTTTCCAGGACACTTGACGGGTATCATAGGAGTCAACTCCTTGCATCTGTGGTCCCTTCAGCTCCCCCAATAATATATATGAGGCAGTCCCCCCCATTTTTTTAATAAGCATTGCTATTCGAATGTTGTGCATATGCCACATCATGTGAGGCGAGTTTACCTGCCCCCCCATATTGGTACCCCTGGCAGGTATAGTAGGCATGGTGGGCCCCTTTCCAGGGTGTGGGCCTTGGCTGATGTCCCATAATGTTTTTCTCTGATTCCAGCACTGATCACAAGTATAACTTCCCATTCCCCCATCAAGAAAAGCTATTCATTGTTCTAGCAGATATTGTAGAAGCTAATAGCATAATCAGGGATGCGTAATGACCTTGATAAACTTGTATGTGTAATCAGTTTAGGAATGGATAGGGAGCAGTTTTAAGTTGACAATCTGGACAAGGTAGGAGTGACGCTGATCAGGAACACTAGCGAGCCATTCTTGGAGAGGTGTACTGGATGGGGTTGAAACGGTATGAAGTTCAGCTGTACACCTGGATCTGTTACTTCCCCTGGATGCCAAGGAGGTTCACCTAATCCCCATTCAGTATTGCTTCCTGTGGAATAGAATTACAGTGGAACCTCGGGTTGCGGATATAATCCATGACGGAGGCATATCCGCAACCCACAGCATTCGCATCCTGAAGCCCCACACCTGCACAGGTGCCAGCGTGATTTGGCTCTTTTGTGCATGCGCCAGCGGTGAAACCCTGAAGTAACCCATTCCAGTACTTCCGGGTTTCCCGTGGTCTACAACCTGAAAACACCCCTAACCTGAAACGGCCGTAACATGAGGTATGACTGTAGCTCCACAGCAGATCTTGTGATGCAGAAGGCCCTGGCTTGAACCTTTAGTGTATTAAGAGAGAAGGGTCTTAGAGAGTAGGGCTAAAATGTTAAAATCATTTCAGGAACCAGAGCTTAGAAAGACATGGCTCAGTTCAGCATTTTAGGCTCTGTACACACCATACCTTTAGAGAACACCTACCCAAATAATCATGGGAACTTTATATTCAACAACCCCCAGGTGGTTCTTGGGCACCTCGCAGAGCTGCAATTTCCAGCACCCTTAACACACTACAGGTCCCACCTATTCACCTGTATATATATGGTAAATAGTGAAGGATTTGCTTTGAAAGTGCTTATTGGAATGATATGGCTCACTTGCCATGCTGTTTCTGCCATGCTGATAGGTATAGACCGGCAAGGAGCTGTGAAAATTCTCTACAAATTTGGAGATTCACTACTTGCAACTTCCTACCCCTTGGATCTGGCTATTCTATTTTGCTTTAAGGGTTGAAATAATTCCCAATATGTGCTTTGGCAGTAATTCTTTCTTTAGCCTAATGCTGCTACTTTTTTCGCGATACGTAAAAAAACAAGAATATGTTCATTATAAAGTAGAGCAGAAATATAATTAATAATTCACTGAATAAGTTGTAAATCGAAGGAAGTATCTATAAAGCATACAGAATGACGATACACATTTAAAAAGATTCTTCTGCTATTCTGTGCATCCAGACGTTGTTAAAACATACGTTGCCCTTCAAGTTCATGCCTCTGATTGTCATTTCATAACTGCACCTCCAGTTTGCCCTTGCATCCTCAATGGATCCCAGTTGTATAACATCCCTTGGGTTCCTGACAGTGGGATTTTTGTACCTTCTGTTCATCCTCTGTAATTATACCGATAGGTATCAAGCCATTTTCATAAATGTCATTATAATAAACAGACTGTGTGTCACATGCTTTAAAATCCAATAAGCTGATTATTACGGTGTTATTTTAACCTTCCATTAATTAAAAGGAGCTCCAGTTAAAGAAGCAGGGAGAGAAAGCAAACTTTGGCATTGTTGTTATAGCTTCCTTTGCAAGAGAAAGGACACAGGTTATGATGAAAGAAAAAAGTTCTATGTCATTTACTCGAAGCTTAATTACTACTATCAGATAAGCCAGTTGAGCTAGGCAAGGTATCCTTAGGCAGCTCTTGGAACATTTGTGAAGAAGTGTACTTGACACTGTTTTCATATCCAGAAGAAATGGGTCTCTCTGATTTCCCTATCATTATGAAATTTATTCAGCCATCTTACTGAGCTGTGTATGATCAGGTTACCTTGAGAACTGCCTAATCTCATATATCCCTGCCCAGCTTCTGTACTCCTCAGATGGGACACCACTTAGATGACCTTATTTATTTAATTTTTATATTTATAGACCAACTTTATCTTCCAAGGATCTCAAGGTGGTGTGCATGACTC